TTTTTTTTTTTTTTTTTTTTTTTTTAATTACCGACGATTTTTATGGCTTTTCCCGTTATCGACATTGATCGAAAAATGTGCATCGTTAATCCTGAGCAGAAAGCACGACTTGTCCTATCTTGATTAAGAGGGTCTCGATGCCACGAGCAACAAATTTCTGTTTGATTTATGGTGTCATAGATCGACTGCGAATTTCAAACGGAATTCCAACACGAAGACAAATTTTTATGCCTTTGTTAACTGCACTCGCGAAAGTATAAAAGTAATACAAATATCCGTAATCTGATGAGTCTGAAAAATCTGATGATCTATATTTTTCTATAGTTCACAGAGAAGGAAAGAACTTCGATGTCAATAATGAATAAATTATTAATGAAATTAATGAAATTAAAGCAGCAATAGAGAACAATTTTTATTCATATATTCGAATCTCTAAAAATTCATTATAAATCTATAAAATTTCTATTTAAAAAAAGACAACAGAAATACGCGATTTTGATAATTCTATTGGTAATTCTATCGTTAAAAGGAGAAAAGAAAGTTCATTTTATTCCAACGTTGTCAAAGATTGAATTTAGATTATTTTAGAACACAATAGCAAATTATGGTTTGCTCTCAGGAATGTTCTAATTTTAATTATCCTTGGATAAGAAGTATATGGTAAGTTGTGTTACGTGAGAAACATCTGTACTTCTGGCGCAGTTGACATAACAGAATTAGATGTTATTTGAGAGATTATTTCAAGCAGCATTTATTCGAAATGAAAGGAATTAAGCAAGAAATTAGTTTCTCCAATTCGACAGTCAGATAATAAAAAATAATCTACAGAAAAGACATATATTCTGTTATCACAACAGAACTAGCGTACAGTTATTGATGAATACAATTATCAAGGCAAATATTTTATTCAAGCAACATCCACGAGTTCGATCTATCTTACAACAATGTAACACCACGAATCTTAAATTAATTATTAAAATTCACAAGTTCTATTCTACTATCTGTCGTCAGAAATACAAATTAGAGGAACAAGTCGTTCTACCTGAATTCTCTTCGTGATTTGATTACACGATGGCAACGTGAACGCGATGAATTATTAAGAAATTGCTTCATTCTAGATGCCTGGGAACACGACAGTGGGAAGTATACTTCTGGACGAGGAACTCCAACGTATCTTGATGGAAAGGGGGCAAGAATGTTTGCAATTGCAGGCGATGAATTCCACCCCGCCACCAGGTAGGATTTACCACGTTCGCAGTTATCGCAATATAAATTCAAGCCAATTCTCGAAACTTCTTTGAGAATTTATTAAGTCAAGGTGGCATGCGATCAAATCCTCCGACGCTCGAGTGAAAACTCGGAAGATCGCGAAGGATAATTCGCAGCAGGGAATGCAAATTCTTGCACGCGGATTCGAAGTTGACAGCGGTTTATTGAGACATGTCGCGTGCAAAAATGTGATACAACGCTCCGAGTCAACACTCTAAACGTTATTTTTCGTATTTTCTTCTCTTTCTTTCTTTTCTCCCTTAAAGCGCGAGGTATATTTTTATGTTTATCTGACACGTGCGCGAGTCTACGCTGCACGTACAAGTTTACGCGATATGGAAGAAAGAGAAACTTTAATTCTGAAATGTTGCACATTTTTTTTCAAAAAATGCACGATTGCAATGTCACGAGATTCTTTGCATTGAAACAAATCTTCACGACACGGTCGACTGACAAATGCAGTACGTTTCAGCAGTGAGATTCTTTTTCGAAACTAAGAATTTTGTTCGAGACAGATTTTATAAAA